ACTGTAATAATTGATAATTTTTGGTTGCAGTTTATGTATAACTAAATTTTGGGTTGAACAGCCGATGGATTAACAGACCAGTCTTTTCGACGTATGGACAGTACAAAAGTCTGCTTAATATGGGCTAGAAATTGGCAGAATATCAGTTTAGCTTGTATTCGGTTTAGCCGATGGCTGCAAACTTGACTTCTGAGGATTGAACTATTCGGCTCTCTTCTATGGACTGAATTTCTCTGGGTGGTAGGAAAGGCTTTCTTCTTTAAAAGTGAAATCGAGTTGGGAAAATTGTTCCAGGCGGAGTAGAATTTATTGGCTTCACTAAAATCATATTATTCGTAGAATGTGGTGCATTTGCTACTTTGATAAAATATTAAATTACTGGTGACGGCTTGGGAATTCACTGATCCATGCAATCCACTCTGTGAAATCCATCTTTTGAACAATAACATTTATTTAGTCCTTTCATTGTCCTAAACCGAATTAATCACTCTTGCAGAATCCTGGCGATAGGGAAGAGGCCGGGTCAGCATCACCAAGAGATGAGGATGAGACGCCTCAACCGTCTCCAGAGCGTCGGAGCTTGTTGGTCGGCCAGGAGTGGGCTGACCGTCGATTGCAGCCCACATACCATCTGAACGCACGCGGACAGGCCATTCACCTGGCAGTACTCCACGACCTCGCGGTCTCACGGCCTCATGTTGTCTACGCACCGCACGTCTGGCCTTTAACTGCCCTTATGTTGCATTACCTGCGCCCACGCACTGCTCTCGCTTGTATACGCGCTCTGCTCGACGCAGCGCCAGACGAGCGTGTAGCGCAGTCCAAGAGCCTCTGGCGTAGTCGCTGTCTCGCCCTGGAAGCTCTGCTTGACTCCAAGTCCTCCGCTCTCCTTCACTGGAGTCTCTTGAACCTCTCTCCAGTCGAGGAGGAGGGTGGAGGCAGAGGCAAGGTGGGGGGCAAGAAGAAAGAGAGCGCGAAGCAGAAGCAGAGTGATGCACTTGCCGCTTGGCCTATAGCCGTGTGGTTTGTGCCCTTTGAGTGCCTGGTACCAATTGTGGACTGCTTCCTCGCTGAGGGTGTCAAGGTTCTCTTCAGAATGGGCTTTGTTGTAAGTAATTAAAAGTTCTATTTGGAGCTTGTTGATTTGTTTTCGGTGGTGGCTTATGATGCAATGGAAACGAGGATTTATTATAAGTCTTACTCACTGTCGGCGTTTGGGGAGATTACTCCGCCTCAGACATCACGACCTCGGTAGGTGGTGCATTTGGAATTAACGCAGTTCTCTCAGTTCTTATCACTGGCATTGAACTTTCGTAATAGTATTGGTATTTTGGTATTGGTATTTGGTCCGATTGCAAATTTGGTTGCCATGTTGTATTGCATACTCCGTTTTTAATTTACGAGGCTTTCATCAGAATTTTGGCATTCTTTGCACCTCATCATTTAACGATGAACCGGTAATCTTTCGGCTTCTGCGTAGGAGATTCCTTAAAACTTGTTATAACCTTGCACATGTTTTTTTTGCGTACTAGCGTACACATTTTAGCGGTTCATGATTTGTGTACGGTATACTTTACA